TCACAGAGCGGAGAGGACATTCCTTCCCTCCCCTCCCGCTGTCAGACCCTTCATTAAGCTGCTAACCAGTGACCCACACAGCTGTCCAGGCTTTTATTGACGAGCCTTATCACTCACTGCTAACTAGTTGTTGTAGGATTTCACCACTTTTTGTTTTTTAGAAGAACGTCTGACTGGTTTACTTCCCAGTTGACGAGAAGTACATTGATGCTCCATGTTAACACTTTAGCGTTCACTAAGTCACATGACGCTGTGGCATTTATTCATATTTAGTAGTATAAACTTCACTAAAGTTTTTTTTTCTTATCTTATAATCAAAACTTTTGAAAAATAGATCAATCAGCTGTTTCTGAAAACTTTCTTCCTAATAGAGTTGAATAGGCTTAGTTTTAGCACTAAAACTATATATTCTAATGTCAGAATTAGTCAATTAAACCAAAACTTTGGGATTAATTAGTGTTTAATGTGTCAATTTAAGAGTTGCGATAACTGTTTTATCATTAGCTTTTAGCATTGTTCCCCTTGTTTTTCTTGGATGTAGCTTGGTAGATAAAATGACGTCCCCGCTCCTAACCTAGCCAGTTTTGCTATTGCTACAAAGCTAGCTTTAGCATTAGCAGCTGTTTACTTACCAGTCTTGCCAAGAGCTTCAGTCATCGTTGTCTTCATAACACAAGAGGTTATAATACGTCCTCTGAACAGCGCCACGTCTTCGGATATTGGACGCTACAGTGACTTGGTATCGGAAAGTGACGAGTCAGGGCAACTGGGCTGGAGCTAGCTGGTTAGCATGCTAACTTCAATAGAAGAAAAGAAGCGATAGAAATAGAAGCAAAACAAGAGGGTTGTTTTCCACCAATGGAGACAGCTGTTGTTGAGTAAAGGAATAAATCACAATGTTTCTTCTAGACTGGAAAGTAAACAGCCGCTAATGCTAATGTTAGCTATGTAGCAATAGCTCCTTTTAGAGACACTGACTATGATAGATTGTTTTGTTTACTGCGCTCACAATCCTGTGAACTAAGGCTGGATGTGTTGTAGTTTTATTGTGATTATTTCCCAACACAAAGTTTTTCTGTTTGAACTGTAAAACCAGGAACTTCACAGCGGTGGGGCGTCGCCGTCGACCCTCCAGTCAATCCCCATGGTGCCATAAACAATCCGGCTAATTGAAACGCTTAATTTGCTCTTTGTTCAACAGACTTCTGACCCAGTTTTCACTTCATCGCTTCGTTCTCTGATTCGATTAGGATCAGGCACAGATGAAGTAAAGCTGAGCTCGCAAAGGGTTTACAAAAGGGTTGTGTCTGTTTGCATAACACAAGATTTCTGCTGCTGGAGGAAATCGCTCTGCATTTCCTTCTCCATCTGCAGCCCTTCATTGTGGCTTCAATTAAAAGATTGCGATCTGCACTTTCAGCAGTGTTCCCTGCTTCTTATTATGTGATTTTTATTCTGGAAAATATGAGGATATAACCTCTTTGTTATCACCACTTGTTCCTTCAGAGGAGCTGGGTGACCTACTGATTGTTGCCCTAGTTCCAGTTTAAACTCCCAGTTTTCCCATTGAGGCTTCAGCTCCTTCTGTTTCCCAGCTGGAGAGTGTAGAGTTACAGCCGGCCCTAAATAACACCTCACTGTTGGTCTGCAAAGACAAAGAGGTTTCTGTTGTGTGTGTGTGTGTGTGTGTGATGAGTTACACCCAGCCCCGGTGACTGATGCTGCAGCAACCCCGGGCCGACTGCTCCTTTTTTCTTTCACACAACCACAACCGCACACTCCACATGCAGAAATGACAGGGAGTCTATAAAAGCCTCGGCGTGGTTCTGTTTTCACGGACCTCAACCCGTTTCCTGTCCCTGAACAAGACAAGGATTTATCCCCGTCTGCGTCCTCACGCTGGACGGATCATTCATTTATTTCTAAGATGATTTTAAAAGGTGATTTTTATTGAGAGCCGTCCTGCTGTATTGTAAAGAGAAAAAGGCAAAGAGGCGAAAAGGGCGGTGTCAAAGGTCATACAAACCACAAACTATGGCTCAGTTTTGTGTTTAAAAGTGGTTTTCTGTGTGTAATTACTCCTCCGTTAAAACTACGCCCTTTTTCTTTTCCCATCTTGATGTTTTTTTTCCCTCTTTTTGAGCTGAAACCAAACCTGGATTTATTACATCTTTTTAGGCATCTCATGATCATTTTTACATAAACCAGAAAATAGTAAAACATTTGGCAAAGTTTTATATTTCAGTTTATAGCAGCAACAATTAGTCACTTAATATTTTGATAATCAAGTAAACGTTAAAATTCTTTTTCAAGCAAAAACATGACTTTTTTTCAGGTCTGTTTCAGTTACATTCAGTTACAATATAATGTACGTTTTTATTACGTTCTACGACGAGACACCAACAGTTTGTCCGATAGTTGATCATCGATAAACCAGAATATTTCAGGGTGATGTTGAACTAACTTCCTGTGATACAGAGTGTCGCTTCCAAAGCTCAAGAAACATTTTATAACCAGCTTTTATAACCATACTCCTGTTTAAAATGCACATACAGGATGTCCTTCATTTCATTTTTCAACATGATATTTTTAAAACTTTTTTTTGAGACTTTCAAAAACCTAAAGCTTTTTTTTTTTTATTTTCATGTTTTTCAGTTTAGCTGCTGAAAAGCAACAGCTGGTATTTTATTCATTTGAGCTGACATTATAATTACTGTCATCATCACAGCAAAGCCCACGACTGTCAGTGTGTGTGTGTGTGTGTGTGTGTGTGTGTGTGTGTGTGTGTGTGTGTGGGTTTGTGGGTACAAAGATCTGAAGGGGTGTGATAATATCAGCCACAGTTTGATGGCTCCCGGTAACCGTGGAGATTTAGTTGTTGCCAGGAGACACTCGGGGAGGAGGTAAAACGTTGTAAACTATTGTAAATGTTTGCTCATGATGTGGCACGTGCACTTTCACAGTATTTATTACTACATTCATATCGTGGGCTCGTTTTCAGCGACATGCTCTTAAGGTCATTGCATAAAGTTAGAAAAGGACCCACTGGTGGATAGATGTGTAAATATTTGCCCCCTCCTCCCTTTAGTAGATTCACGGTACGCTGTCAGTGTTTGCATGACACACACACACACACACACACCAGCAGAGGCCTGAGATCGGGCCTTGTAGGGCAGCGTACGGCGGCAGGAGTGTGCTGTGTGTTTATGAAGTGAGGAGGTCATTTCACTCTGAGCGTGACGAAGAGAAAATACAGGAGGTCGAGTCCTCTTCTTTTCCGTCTGTAATCAAGGCCACATGCTTGGCGCTCGGCTGTCCGCCCTCCTCCTGTTTCCTCCTTTCCTCCATCTTGATTTCACTCTCGTTTCATCCGTCTGTCCGTCCATGTCATCCCTCTTTTGTCTGACGTTACATAACTAAAGATAACGTACTAAAACTGTAGATTGTCTTTTTCTAAATCAGCAGAACCTCCTTTCTTTCTTTGTCTCCAACTTCATGTGTGTCTGATTTAAATGGCTTGTTTCCCTCTCATTGGCTGAGCCCAGACTGGTCCCATATGGCTAATATTTCCATTGGACACATTCAGTGTAGTCTGCCTGGTAACACAACTCGAAGTTACATCAGAAATTTTTTCCCATTCTCTTGGTGCATTGAGTTCAAGTCAGGACAGGACGGGAGAACCGTGAAGTTTTCATATGGATAAATACACCGTTCTGTCCCCGAACAACACGATACACACACAAGATGTTGTTGTGTTTTTGGCCTGTGGGTGTAAACATGATGTAATCCCCAATTTCAACAAAACACATGAATAAATAATCTAAAAGAGAATTTGTCACATGTGAAAACTGACAGCAGTCGACCACAACGTGGCACCAAAATGATCCAAAATATGTTTGATTTATACCAAGTTCTGCATATTACAAAATACAGAGAGCAGGTCTCATATGAAAGGCCGAGGTACGGAGGCTCGTCAGTGACAAGGTAATAATAATAATAATAATAATAATAATAATAATAATGATAGGGAAGGTCAACTATGCTGGGATAATGATGGCACTGAGCTGATAATTCAGTTAATCAATAAGTTGATCAACAGCAACAAAAATATCAATTATTCTCTGGTTTCAGCTTCTTTAAACGAGGATTTGCTGATTTTTTTTTTTTGTCTGTTTTATATCACTGTCGACTTATTATCTCACTTGTTCCTAACACTTGATGATTAATCAACTAATCAGGAAAAAACCTCAGCAGATAATGAACATGAATATGAACTGCAGCCTTCGTGTGGATGTTTTTTATTTGAAACGTAAGGCCAAGACGATTTGCTAAATGCTAATTAAATGCTAATGAAAGTAATTAGAGGCCTTATGCACAAGTTTCCTGTTAGAGGACATACCACACACACACACACACACACGCACACACACACACACACACACACACACAGGAGATGTATGTCAGTATGTATTCAACACATCACCGCCAAGGTTTTGCTTTGGCTGCGTTTTGTTTACACCAGTCATAACACCTGATCACGGAGGGAGATCTACACACACTCCCCTTGTTCAGAGGAGAAGAATGCAGCAGCAGGAATGTGGGGGGGGGGGTTGTGGTGGGGGGTGGGGGGGGGGCTATGGGGGGGGAGATGAAAGATGGAGTTAAGGGTAGAGGAGTGTGTTTTGTAAATGTATCACCACACTGAGAATCACACACAGACAGAGACACACTGATTGGTGGGGTTGTTTATTTTAAGTGAAAGACGGTTTTAAAGGATTGGCTGCTTTAGTGTTTCCTGGGGGAGGGGGAGGGGGGGGGGGCTTCAAGGAAAGGTAGCAATAAAAAATTAAAGAGTCTGTAATTGCACACTCTGTGTCATAGACTCCCAGCTACAGTATTAGTCACAGCCTTTCTATAATTATCCGTCTGTCTGAGGCCTCGTCTCTGGTGGGAGCAAACCGCTCGTATTAAACATCCTCCTCTCTGTCTCCTCTGTGCAGCACTTCTCCGAGCTCCTCGACGACCTGTCCCAGGATGCTTTGCTGGGCCAGCTGCTCAGCGACCCCTTCCTCTCCGGGGTGAGGGGCGGAGTGGAGGCCATGGAGGGCGAGGACGGAGCGGACCTGTCCCCATCCTCCCCTCTGCCCCCTCACATCACCGCCGAGCACAGCTACTCGCTCTGCGGGGACAGCCGGCCACAGTCGCCCCTGTCGCACCTGACCGGAGAGCAAGGCAGTGACGCAGGTGAGACAGGTGGATGATGTCAGCTGGTGTTACCAAACTTCAGACAGATGTTGGTGTGTTTTTCACCATCAATCACTTTTTCCATATGGAAGACAAAGACAAGCTGATTTTTATATTATTGGAAAGATATTTTTTTAAAAATGACCAAAAAATGTAATAAACTGAGAAGGAAACTAGTTCAAATGAATCTTTCTCTATCAACAGAAATAAAATAATTATTCGACAGTGTCTGTTAGTTCTGGTTCCTTCGCTTCTACAGATTATAAAGTGATGAAAAAACATGGGATCAGGAAATTAGCAACAGCAGAAACGTACAGATAATATAATGTTGTGTTAAATAGTGATGAATGACCCTCTCCCTCATACATACCTGTTATATAAACACACGCAGGTACACATGACAGCCTCATACCATAGACGCCATATTGTTTTATAATTTTTACATCTCTATAGCTGTTCTTGTTTTTGTTGAGATCTACACGTCTGTTTTTTTTTGTTATCTAACAGATAAAGGAAGAAAAAAATAAACATAGAGATAAAGATGTTGGATGTTGGTGTGAAATGTACAAAAAGGCTTCAGTGTCAGTGATCCGTGTCTGTTCTGCAGCAGAGTCTGATGGGGATTCAGCCGAGTGGCCCATGGAGCAGGAGGAAGTTATTGAAGGCCTCCTGTGCGAGACCCCCTCCCTCCTCCCCACCCTCTCCCTGTCTCTGGCCTCTAGCGACGGGGCCCAAGCCCCTGAGCGCCCCGCCGTGGCCCCCGCCGCCACCCCAGCTCAGACCGCAGTCACCAGCCAACACCAGGGCAAAGGCATCAAGGTGAGAGACGAGAGACGAGAGACTCAGGATGAAACATTTTCAAACATTTTTCATGGCGTGTAACCTTCTTCTTCTCTTTCCTGTTTCCTGCAGATAAAAGAGGAGAATATCATCCCTCAGATTAAACTGGAGCCTCATGAAGTGGATCAGTTTCTCAATCTTTCACCCAAAGGTCAGAATCTCTCACTTCCTGCTGTTGCACATCAGTCACATGACGCTGCGAGGACCCCTGCTGGCCGTCTGCTCACACACACCTCACATGAGAGCTGAGACGAAGAAGTCGAAGCGTTTACTTAATAGTGCAGCAGATAATCTTGTGTACGGAAGGTTATTGTGCAGTTTATGACGAACATGAAACTTTCTCCAGTGTTTTTATAAACCATGGAGTTTAACTGCAAAATGCTTCTATCTGCCAGTTTATGATCTTATCAATGAAGCTTCCCACCAATAGAGAAGGAAATTATTCACGTGTGTAGTGAATTACACATTTTAATAGCCACTGTAACACCTGTAAACTGTGGGGTCTGCAGCCCCCCCCCCCGCAAAACTGGTGCTCTGAGCAAAACACAGCAGCAAATAAGCATCTTTGTGAGAACAAAACTGCAATTTGGGCAAAGATACATGATTATAATGGAGAGTGATGGGGCAAATACTGGAAAAATGCAATGCTGAAGTCAGTGACCACTCAAGGTCACCAGAGGTCAGATACAAATTGCCTCCAAGTGTGAAATACTCATAAAGCAGAATCTTCCCCTCTGCCTCGTCGTGCTTCAGGTCTGGAGTCTCTGCAGATGCCTCCCACTCCTCCCAGTTCCCACGGCAGTGACTCGGAGGGCAGCCAGAGCCCCGTCCACGCCACGCCCGGCCTCTCCTGCCCCACCTCCCCCACCAGCCCCTCCCCATCCCAGGCCAGCCTGAAGGTGTCGCCCCGCGCCGCCTCCTCCCTGTCCAACTCCCCCCTGCTCACCGCTCCTCACGTAAGTGCTGTGATGGTTTCTGGATACCAGAACGACAATGTGCCTCAAAGTGTCGCCACACTGCATTTAGATTTTTAGTTGTTTTGTTTTGTTTTTTTTTAAAGATAAGCACTTGAAAACTAATTACAGGTCTTATCATATCCACAAGTTTCCTGTTGTTAAACACCAGTTTCATGTTTGTGTGTGTGTAGAAGCTGCAGGGCTCAGGACCGCTGATCCTGACCGAGGAGGAGCGTCGCACCCTGGTGGCCGAAGGTTACCCCGTTCCCACCAAGCTGCCGCTCACCAAGGCCGAGGAGAAGGCGCTGAAGAAGATCCGCAGGAAAATCAAGAACAAGGTACAAACTTCAGCCTGGACTCATTTATCTGCCCGACGTGTCATAATAACTTTCAATACCAGCGTAGTTACAGCGTCTAACTACGTCAGTTCTCTCAGTTAGATATGTCTGTGTTTACAAACTCTCTTGCCTCAAATTGAGGGACAAATAAACTGAATGAAATACTCGTGAATGAGCAAGTGTCCACAACTGAGAAAGCAAATAAACCAGAGACAAGAAAATAAGAAGAAATACAAAAGAATCTGTAAGGAGAACAGAATTTATGTCGTAGAATTTTGTAAATCAAACTCAAACACAAAACAAACTTAACGATTATTTCTCTAATTGTTTTTCCTTCATCTTCTCTCTCTCTCTCTCTCTCTCTCTCTCTCTCTCTCTCTCTCTCTCTCTTTCAGATTTCAGCTCAAGAGAGTCGCAGGAAGAAGAAGGAGTACATGGACGCTCTGGAGAAGAAGTGAGTCTTCCTCTTCTTCATCCTTTCATCATATGCTGTATCAAAAAAACACCTGACTCACTCTGCAGGAACAAACCGACTTCATACTATATCACATAATTACTGCTGGTACTTTAATGAGCAAATCCTGAGTTCTGTTAATTTCATTATCAATTTCTCATTTAGAGTTTTTGCAATTATTATTTATTTTTTTTATTGTACAAATGAAGAAATCTTATATTTTAAAGCTTTTAAATAATTTTCTGTTTGATGTTTTGACCTTGAACCATTCAATAACTTGGATTTCTTGTACATTCAGGTTGAATTTTAACTCTGTAAATAATGTGGAATAAAAATTTAATTGAAAAAATAAATCTGAAATATGTGCAGCATAAAGAAAATTGAGACAATATAATAGTATGTAATAATATAAAAGTCATGCAAAATGAAAATAATTGACATTGTGTGGAGATGGAGCCACTGACCCTGCAGTTCTCCTGTCTGACCACAGGGTGGAGACCTGCTCCAACGAAAACAACGAACTACGCAGGAAAGTGGAAACTCTGGAGTGCACAAACAAGTAAGAACTATACAGGCAGTGTACTGTCCACTGTACACACACACACACACACACACACACACACACACACACACACACACACACACAAATTCATACACTTCACCTCATGTGTGATTCATTTAACACACACTTAAGGTTCTTAAATGCCAGAATTTAGTATTTAACTCATAAAATGTAATTAGTTTTTAAAGTAAAAAAAAGCTCAGACAAAATATAAAACTGTTTAATAACTACAACTTGTTTACTTTCCTACAGAGCTGTATCATATCATCAATAAAGGCAATAATCAATGCACAAATTCACTATTAATCAAACAGAAAAAAGGGTCTCAAACAAAACAATATATAATAATAATAATAATAATAATAATAATAATAATAATAAATATATAATATCAAAAAAGAAAAAAATGATTAATAATAATAAATCTCACCACAAAAAATATGCTAATTTAATATTGTAAAATGTAATAAATAGAATGATATGATAAGAGTGTGGTGGTGTTATGACTAGTATGAATAGTATGTGTTATTTATGTTATATTATAATAATACAGAAAATATTATTAATTATGATTTAACAATGTGAAATGATGAAGTTGTGGCAACACGTCCAGGAACCCCAGCGGGACATAGGGGCGACCCAACGCGACCCTCCCCCGCCCTGGGGACGGCGTATAGCATTAGTTTTAATGCGAAGCTGATTGATTGATTGATTGATTGATTGATTGATTGACCCTTGAACTGGTCAAAGCTTTGCACAGTATTTTGGATAAAGAAAAGAACTGTTTATAGACTGAACCGTTGAGCTTCAGGACTGACGACCAGTTTGACTCCCGTCAGTCACAAACACTCAACGGCGGTGACAATCAAAGCGTCGGGACGTTCGGGTCGTGGGCGTTCAGACCTACAAACTGTCCGTCTGTAGCCTCCAAACATCCTGTGTGTCCCTCTTCTGTGTTTATTACTCACAGTGTAACACAGGAAACACACTGAGTGGATTTTATTATTTACAAATAACGCAGAGTGGAACGCTCCCCGTGGATCTGCTCAGCTGCAATTTAGCATGCATGCATAATCATGAGGCTATTTTAATGTAAAATGCTCAAGCTGCTTCAAATAGGCTGTGTTGTTTGCTCTCGTTATGCATGGGTGAACTGTGTGTGTGTGTGTGTGTGTGTATATGTGTGTGTGTGTGTGTGTGTGTGTGTGTGTGTGTGTGTGTGTGTGTGTGTGTGTTAAGTATAGCTGACTTGACGAGAACCCAGCTGTTTTGGGTCTTGTGTTGCACTCGGTGTTTAAAGTGGGCTTTACTGTCACTGTCTGAGAGTTAAATGAACCAGCCGTGTGTGTGTGTGTGTGTGTGTGTGTGTGTGTGTGTGTATTCATGCTGGTGCACCTGGACAGTGTGCTTGTGTTGTTGGCTGCCTTTGTAATGAAGCAAACAGCAGAACAAAACCTCAGTGGAACATCTGCCTGCTTTACACTGACACACTGTTTAACCTGTCATGTACGTACGTCACCCAGGTTTCATCCACATGATCAGGGTCGGAAATGATCAGTGTCGGCTCCTCCATCCTCCATCTTATTGTTTAAACATCTAAACTGTTTAACTTTATATTTGTTGCTCCTCTGCGCCGGCGACAGTCAGAGCCGCCATATTGTTTTCAGGTTGTCCGTTCGTCCATCCCTTTCTCATGGACACGATATCTCGTTAACACATTGAAGGAACTTCTTCAAATTTTTCATTCACTAGGACTCAAAGATGAACTCATTAGATTTTTGGGGTTAAAGGTCAAAGTTCTAGTCTAGTTTTCTTTGTCATGTAATTAAACCACAGAAAACCTGAAGCAAGGTCGTATTAATCCATCACAGAAGTACAGTGAGGCAGCAGCCAACCATTATTTTCATCATCAATTAGTCTGACAGCTATTTTCTGTAACAGTCAGTTGAGTGAATACAACGTCAGAAGATAGTGACATCTGCCCATCATTATTCCCTGGAGCTCAAGTATTCATATTCAAATTATATTCAGTTTTTCTTTTTTACCTGACAAACTGTCAAAAACACAAAGATGACGAGTTTATTATCAACAAAAACGACAAAAACTAACAAATATTCACATTTAAGAAGCTGCTAACAGTGAGTCTTTGGCACCGTTGCTTAAAAAATTACCTGATAAAATGAACAAATG